CCATTTTTTTGGTTGATTTTTCACTTTCTTGGTGGTACTATTTGCAGCACAAAAGTTTTAAATTTTGATTAAGTCCAACTTATCTATTTTTTTTCTTTTGTCACTTACATTTTTCGTGTCATATGTCATCAGGCTTTGACTAATGCAAGGTCACAAAGATTTACTCATGTTTTCTTCTAAGAGTTTAATTGCTTTAGTTCTTACATTTAGGTCTGTGATCCATTTTGAGTTAATATTTGTGTACGGTGTAAGAAAGGAGTCCAACTTCATTCTTTTCTATGTGGATATCCAGTTGTTCCAGCATCATTTGTTGAAAACACTATTCTTTCCTACCTTAAATTGTCTTTGCACCCTTGTCAAAAATCAATTGACCGTAAATGTTAAGGATTTATTTCTAGACTCTCAATTCTATTCTATCGATCTATGCCAGTACCACACTGTCTTGATTACTGTCATTTTGTAGTAACTTCTGAAGTCAAAGTTCTTCTTTGTCAAGATTGTTTTAGATATTCTGGACCCCTTACATTTCCATACCAATTTTAGGATCAGCTTGTCTATTTGTACAAGAAATGGCAGCTGGAATTTCAAAAGGGCTTTTGTTGAATATGTAGACCAATTAGAGGATATTGCCATCTTAACAAAAGTATGTTTACATGAATGGTTTTCCATTTAGTTAGGTCTTAAATTGGATGAGTGCTTTTCTGAAAAAGCTTCTCTGAAACATACGCTCTTCCTTTTCATTCTGTATTTGGACTATTGTCTCTGCTTTCCTCTGGGTATCATGTCATCCTTGGAAATATGTTGTCTCTTCAGAATTACTCAATGTTAACCTTTATATTTCTTTTCATCTTTTTCAAGTAGCCTGTGATTCTCTGGCTGACACTGTGTTCAATACTGTATGGACCTTGGGCTGCCGACCCTTTATGAATAGTCAGCGAGCAGCTTGCATCTGTGCAGAAGAGGAGAAACAAGAATTATGAGGAAAAGGTGATTCCTTCCTGGTTTTGAGTGACACCACAGCTGTCAGTCTCAGAGATGGCAGGGTGACGGGTGTCTCATCCTTTCTTCCATCAGTTTGGATATCACAAAGCAGGTGAAAGGAAACATTGTTCTACAGCTGGAAAGTGAGTCCTATCCTTTGAGGAAAATTGAAAAAGATATGGAGTGATTCAAAGGCTACCCTTCGCTTTAACACTGGTCTCCCCAACCAAGACACGTTTGCCTGGAAATTCAGTTCTTAGCTTAAAGACTAAAATACAAGCAAACTCTGCAATTCCTGGACTTGACAATTATATTCATAAGGGACATTTTGGGGAATCCAACCATTTGGGAGGAATGACTTTCCTCTGGCCCATGTTTCAGTTGCCAGTGAGCATCTCACATTTAATAAAGTGTACTTTTTAGAACATTTGAAAAGAGATGAATGAATTCCATGATCACCATATGCTTCCATTTCACTTAGAAGAGACCAGAACCCAACCTGGTTAAGTTCCACTGATGACAACATTATTCCCACTGGTGCTGAAGAGAGAAAAGCAGATGGACAAGGTCAGAGGCTTACCTGATTAAGGCCAAGGGAGGTGAAGGTTGGATGGAATTAAGTCTCTGCGATTTCATTTTTTTTCTCCAGTGACCATCCCCTGTTGGTATTCCCAGTTACTCAGTAGTGTTAGAGTCATGCTAAGATCTGAGACACACTCAGTGAGAGTTACCAGTGGCGACAACTAGGAAAAGTCCCTGCAACCTGCAGGGAGTGAGAGACAAATGGCCATTCCCTAATTTGTGGTTCTCAACCCTGACTGTGGCTTAGAATCACTTGAGGACCATTCAAAACTAACCAATAAAGAATCTCCGTAGGGGTGATGCCTACATACTGGTAGTTTATAAATGCTTCTCAGGTGATTCTGATGCACAGTGAGGGCTGAGGGCCACTAATCCAGATCAGGAATTGGCCATCTAAGTCCCGTGGGCCAAACCCAGCCCAAAGCCTGTTTTTGTATAGGTTTATTGGAACACGCTCACATTTGTTTACATACTGTCTATGGTTGCTCTTGCACTACGACAGCAGAGTTGAGTAGTTATGACAAAGACTGTATGGCCCCAAAAGCCTGAAATATTTACCAGTTGGCCTTTTACAGAAAAATTTGCTGACCTCTGATCTAAATAATTTTCTCCTTTCCCTACCTTTTGTTAATTTCACTGGTACTATTAAGAATTGTCAACTATAGCAACTTTTAAAAAGAAAAAGAAGAAAAACTGTTTTTCTGATCTTATGTACAGCCATAAAATTAAGTGGCATATTCAGAAATTGAATTTAACTGCAGATAAAATTTATCTTTGTTTATGATATTTATTTCAATAAAATTTATTAAGCACCTAGAAAATAGAGTATGGTAAAATTTTATACTTTTTTCTATTGTCTTATTGGCCTGAAGACACAGAATACCAAATAACAGTGTATGTATGATACCAAACTTTAATTTTGTTACAGTTTAGTCATTGAAGCACTTAAATACATGCCAATAAACTTATTCATATTTATTAAGTGAAAATATTTCACTTAAGGCAATATAAAAATATCAAAAGAAAATGTTATGCAAAAGAAAAACAAAATATAATTTTTTAATTACATACTGTTTTATTTATAAACTTCCCAATCTAACTATTCTGTATTTGAATTGAAATTTCAGGGTTTGTTTTTTACATATTTATGGTATCACTGGGTATTTAAAGTCATAATTTCAGTAACTAATTTTTTTTAAGGTTTCTAGCTTGAAATATTATACCCAACTTCTGATTTTAGTGGTCCTATGACATCATGCACGAGGTATTTAATTGTAGGAAAGAAATGAGGAAAACGGATAAGCTTCCTTCTAGGTGACAGCTTAGTTTTCACTTAGGAGGGTGAAACCCCACCCAGCCACGTTGTTCAGCAGTGCTGTGACCTGTGCCGACCTGGCGGACCAGAATCAGAGTGAGTCGGTTCTGGGAGTTTGTCCAAACTTACAATGTGAAGTTTAAAGAGGTTAGGTGCTCCAGGAGGTTGGCTGATGTTCTCAGAGGACACGAGAAGGAGCTCCAGAGAGGAGAGCCATCTGAAGCTAGCTCAAGGTGTTACGATGACCTAGTCCTCCCAGTCAATGCTGATCGGGCCGCCAGTCAGCATCTGGCTCTGTAGACCAGCAGGGTCCTCTCCTACTGCCTCACGACGCATTCGCCGGTGGCAACCCTGGGCACAGCGGGAGCGCTCATCCAGCATTCCACAGACTAGAACCCGGCAGTGCAGAAACACTTCCTGGAGAGATGATCATGGTCATTAATAAAGACAGTGATAATAGCTGTCGCTCATGGGGCACGTACTAGGAGCCCGACACATGCTAAATGTTCCAAGACATCATTTCATTTAATTTTAACAATACCACTCTGAGGTAGAAGTTACCAGCCCCATTTTACAGAGAAGGAAACTGAGGCTTAGAGAGGTTAAGGAACTTGCCCAAATTCACACATTTAGTAATAATGTGGCAAAGTTGGAATTTGAGTCATGTAGGTGATTTAAAAATCCACATTCATAACTTCTGCATTGTGCTGGAACAGAAGAGATCTTTGTGAAACAACATCTAATAACCTTAACATCTTCATTCTTCACATCAAGGTCGGGGAATTACATTGCCTTCCACGCACTTGTGTCGTAAAATAAGTTCTTCCTCCAAGCACCTTTCGATAAGTAACTGCCTAGAGCTTACTCTGCCTAGTTGAGGGAGATCAGGATTAGTCATTGTTAGCAGTTGTTCTGGAACAATGATATAGCTGGAAAGGACAGGAATGCACGCTTAATAAAGGCAGTGTGGAAAAGAATGAAAGAAAAACTTCCTTTGGTTCAACTGTTTGTTTTAGCAACTATAACAACAAAAACTTCCGCCTTATCTCACCATAGCCTTTTCTCTGTAGCCCTGTATCACCTCTATCCATGTGTATACACGTTTAAATGTAGCATATTTAATATGCATGTAAATTGTTATGACAACAGTTTTTATGTCTGTTTTTCCCATATTTGTCATTTTAATAACTGCTTAAAGCAGAACAGAGGCTATGGAAGTTGGAATCTGTGAAGGAGTGTGTAACAACTCGCCTGCCAAAAAACAAAGGAAAAAAATTATACTGCAGCTATTAGCCCTGTTTGTTTGGGGGCTTTTTCTTTTGCCCCCTAATAATAATGTTCTACAAACACTTTCAACACACCTTGTTTTTTGTTTTGTTTTTGACAAACTGTAGGAATTGGAATTTTTAGGTAAAAGAATATGATGATTTGGCCGGGCATGGTGGCTCACACCTGTAATCCTAGCACTCTGGGAGGCCGAGGCGGGCAGATTGTTTGAGCTCAGGAGTTCGAGACCAGCCTGAGCAAGAGTGAGACCCCCCTCTACTAAAAAAATAGAAAGAAATTAGCTGGACAACTAAAAATATATAGAAAAAATTAGTCCCAGCTACTCAGGAGGCTGAGGCAGAAGGATTGCCTAAGCCCAGGAGTTTGAAGTTGCTGTGAGTGAGGCTGACGCCACGGCACTCTAGCCCAGGCAACAGAGTGAGACTCTGTCTCAAAAAAAAAGGAATATAATGATTTTATGATTATTACATTTTATCAGATATCTTTTCAGATTTTCAGAAAGTATATCAATTTATACTGCTACTGTATACTTCTCCCTATAACCTTGTAAATGGTATAATTTATAATTTTTATAAATTTAATATGTATAGTCTTATAATTGTTTGAATTAGCATTTTAAGTACTATTTTCACTGAACATTTCACTATTTATCTTTTCTGTGAATTTCCTGTCCATATCCTTTGCCATATGACCAACCACCATACTGACTGACCATAAAGATTTTAAATTATGATTTTATAGTATTTTCTTTGAATGGCAGTTATTTTGTGGGAGGGGGCAGATAACTGTGACATGCATGAAGGTGTTAAGCTTCTCGATGGCCAGTTTCTCTGTATTTTTCCTAGAGGTCATGCAGATCCTAACAGTGGGCTCTTAGAATGTCAACACATTGGGATACCAAGAAGGAAGGCTCAGGTTCTGGAGTTACGAGATAAAGATGTTTTGCTCACCTTGTGGTCTTTGCCCACAAACTTGAAGACGGGGACCTGGAAGTGCTTTGCTAGGTGATCCCGGGATGTGTACTGCTTTACTGAGTCATCTGAAACACAGCTGAAAATAGGATGGATAGCACATAAGACTTGATCGCTTTAACAGAGTGGGGAAACAATCCAGTCCAGAATGTTTGGCCCAGGGAGAGACAAACTGGGTGGAGGAGGCTGGGCTGTATTCAAGCTTTTTGAGAATGAAGGAAAAATGAAATTCCCTTCCTCTGAAGGCCTCTTCAGACATAGCCCTACTCATTAGCAATTATCAACAGCAACATGTATTTCAAAGATACCTTTTGCTGGCAAGGCTATCTTCTCATTTGTAATATATTGCAGGAGTTCTGCTTTCATGTACTTTATTATTGGCTTGAGAAGGCTTTTCTTTAATTAAATAAATATTTATTGGACACCTAATAGAAACTAACCACTGAAGGGGACACAAAAGTGAGCAAACCACAATTTGTGCATCAAAGCACTACACAAATATCTAAGTTTCTTAGAGAAGAACTGTTTCTGCTGGATAAAAGTCATTCACCTCCAAATTGTTTTCATTTCTCTTTCCCCAGATTTAATGCTAAGGTGCAGTTTGATAGGGTTTTGGGGTTTTACTCTCATGTCTATTGCTTCAAGCGAAACTCCCAGGTGCACCTGAGGGGCAACGGCGGCAGCAGGGCTCCTGATCCTTGAAGCCGAGCCCACGGTGCTGGGTACTGGTGAACCCCTCCTCCCTACAGGGCCGGGATCACCCTCGCGTCACCTTTCCCCTTCTGTATTCTAAAGGAACTTTTATTTTTCTGGACACAGTTGTCTTTTAATGGATACCTAATAGTTTCTGTCTACTGGGCCAGGAGAAAAGTGGGGGTCAGATATAAAAGCCTGTGAAACTGGGTACTTGCTCCATGTGCTTACAGACCACCGTCTAGTTCATTGCTAACTGCTGTTTCGGTGCTCTTGAAAAATCCAAAAAAATTGTTTAAAAATAAGTCCTCTTGACTTGTATGACTGCTAGTACCTTATTCCACTGAACTAAAGAGGATCTAATCATAATGTGGTTTCTGTTATTTCTTGTATTTATTTACTCATTTTTATTTTCCTGAGGTAAAATTAATTTATACCATCTTCTGATTATATTCCAAAATAAGTGTCTACTGCATACCTAATCTGTGCAAGACACTCTGCTGGGTACTGCAGAGGATATAAAGATGAATAATGCGGTGTCTGACGTCAGGAGTTTATAGTCCAGTATCTATGATAATGGTAACACTTGATATAAAAAATGGTACTTTTTATCTAACTGCCTCAGCATTTTCAATTTACCTTTATCTAAAAATACTTCTATTTTTCTTTAAAAGAGAAAACAAGGCAGAAGGAGTTATTACAAGTTAACACATTATAGAATAGAAACCAGGACAATTGTTGGCTCTTGATTTGGTGTGATTAGACAATGCTAGTTCCAACAACTCCAAGTACATGTGCTAAAAATAAATAACGATGGTATAGGAGAATCCAAAATAACTGTTTATCAGAAAGTTGTTCAGTACTTGATTTTGGAATTCAGTATGTTTCTTTTTATGGACATTAGCTTTCTAATTATATTTTGTTTAGGCTAGTATTAAATTATTTTGCATTCTCAGAGCACATACCAACTAAAACTAGAAAGAAGTGAATTGGACATGTTCACTAGCAGGGGACAATAAGCCTGATTTAAATTTAAACTTAGGACACTGAAAAAAAAACAAAGAAATGAAGAATCAAACAATTTTTAAATATAAGTAAAGTGAGTTATGTTTATTTTAGGTTTGTGGACTAGCTCCAAATTATTATTATAAATAATTAATAATTTACTTGGCAAATACTTAACGACACTTACTATAGGTACTGAGGAAGAAGGAAAAGGAAGGAGGATTTCTAGTTCAGACAGAAAGGAATCAGGGAAGGCTTCATGGAGGAAGTAAACCCTGCTGAATTTTGAAAAATTAGTAAGAATCAGACAGGGAAAAAAGGTGGGGAAGGAGATTTCAGACAGAGGAGACAGCATGTGCAAAGTCAGAGGGTGTTTAGGAATGACAGTTTGGGAATTGTCAGTAATTCCCTTTGGCAGGAGCAGAAATGGGAGGAGACCAAGGTCAGAGGGTGAGGGCCCAGTTAGCCAAGCTGCACGTCGGGTTATCTCCTATACACCATTCTTGTACAGTGCTATAGATGGCACTATTTGCCTGCTTACAAATTAGGGCCACACTGCTATGGTTTCCAAGTTCTTGCTTATGCTTTTTTCTTCTGTAGTATATATATTTTTCTCTTTTGTATGTGCTAAGGGCTGGCAAAATAAATAGTGCAGCTTCTTAGAACTGTCTAAAATAAAATAGTTCACTGAGAGTCTGAATAACAAGTATATAAATAAATTTCACAAGCTTTATTAAGATTGCAGGTTACCTGTTTTCCCAGTAAATGAGTTATAATTATATACTTATTTTTGCAAAAAGTGAATATGAGGGGTAGGAGAAAACTTATGGGGTGAGAGAAATGTTCATTATCTTGATTATAATGATGGCTTCGTGGGTATATACATCCGAACTTATCAAACCATACACTTTAAATGTGTCTATGTATTGTATGTGAGTAGGACTCCATTAAAATTGTAAAAAACAGGGCCAGGAGTTTAACCCCTTTATCTTTTTTACCTTTTATTTACCAACCAAGGATAATAAAGATAAAAGGTTTTCAGCGGGGATGTGCACGATCGTATTTTCCTTCTGAGGGGACTGCAGGAGGCGGTGTCTGGGGAGCTGAGATTTGAGAGGCGGGTTTTGGGAGGCTGTGGGCTGCTCTGTTGTCCAGGTGAAAGATAATGAGAGCTGGAATTAAGACAACAGGAGTGAGCTGGAGAGGACGGGGTCCGGGAATTACTATTTTTAAAAAAGCTTCTCGGTGATCCTAATGTGCACCAAGGGTTGAAAAATTGTGGTGTAAGAGATTGGTAGCAGCAGGTGAAGGCTGCTTGTGGTGAGAGACACAGAGAAGTAAAAGCAAAGTAGAAACTTCCAAGAGCCTACAGGCGGACTAGCAAAGGGCAAGACCCGAGGCACACCTGGGCCGCTCGTACTAGCACACTTCCCCTTCCTTAGGCTGCAGTTTCCGTCCCCACCTGAGACTGTGTCCCACCTGACATTTAGAGTAAGGAAGAAACTCATGCGATACACTGTGAGTTTCGGGCTTGAGTGTAATTTTCCCAGTGAAAACTGTTAGATTTCCACTGACACCTCAAGACACCTACAGATCTCAACCCAAGGATCCTTAGGAAACATCACAGAAATCTCTTTGTATAAAACAAGCACAAAAACAAACCACTACGTCTTCCTTCTCGACCTACCAAGAATTTCTTCTCTGTGCTTCACTACCAGACTTCTCCAGCGAGGCCTCCACCTGCGCTCCTTCCGCCTCCTCACCCCGCGCAGGCGCTCTCGGCCACCCGAACACGCCCCGCCCCGCCCCCACACGTGCTCCCGGCTCTGCGCAGGCTCATCAGTCCCACGCTTCCGGCAACAGCAGGATGACTCTCTGCTCTTCACCTCCAGCCCTGACCTTCTTCCTGAGTCTGATACGCATTTCTGACTGCCCACTGAACTTCTCTTCCTAGGTATCCTGCAGGTATTTGGAATTTTAAATTATTCTGTACATTCTTTTGAATGATCAGATTCAATATCTCTACCTCAGATCTGCTTTTCTGCATATGTCTTTTCATCTTGGTTAATGGCATCTGGTCCGTCACCTGAGCTGGACACTTGGAGTCATGTTTGACTCCCCTCTCCCTCACTAGTTTTTACCTCCAAAATGTCAGTAAATGGTTCCTGAACTGACAGCGCCGGCCAGAGTGTGTGCAGGTTTAGGAAGAGCCTGAGTGTGCCTGTGGACTCGGAGGCCGGGTGTGGACTGGGAATCGTGAAACTGTTCCCGCTGCATAATTACCCGTCTCGGATGAGGTAGTACTTCAGGATCTCGTCGATCTTGGCAGTGGGCGTGGCGAAGCAGCTCTCCACCATGCTCTCCAAGCCGCTCACGTGCACCAGGGGCTCGATGCCAAAGTAGAGCGAGTCGCGGAGCTTGAGGGTGGGCAAAGCTTCCCGGTAAGGCTCCTCAAACTCGTTGTCCTTGAAGATCTCCAGCGTGAACGGGAAGATCCCATGATTGCGGCCCATGATTTCCAGCGGGGAGTTTCGAAGGTTGGGAACGTATCCTTCAGAAATGGTGTACAGGCGTGGAAACTCGCAGGTCACCGGGATCAGCAGTTTGCTGGTTCGGATGATGACGTCCCCGCTGCTCCCTGGCGTCTGCTTGGGTAGACCTGTCACAAGGTTGCTAGCCACGATCTTGTCATTCACCACCTGAGCCAGGCCAGGGCAAGGAGAGGAAGGAGATTTTCAGGTTATTTCTACAGAGTTTCCCCTCTACCCCACCTTAACATTTTCTGAATTTCTGCTCACATCAAAACACATTAGAGATTTGGTTGCCTAAAACTGAAGGTTTTTGTTTTTGTTTCCATTGCCTTTCTCTTGCAAGCAAGACATCCTGGCTGTTAAGAATTTTACATACTACTTCTTTGTCAGCCCACACATTCCTCTGGAGTTCTACTCATAAAACCTGATCTATGCAGAATCAGCATATTCAAAGCTCTGGTATTTTAGGAAAAAATGGCTTCCATATGTTATTTTTTTCAGGAGTCTGAGACTTGGTGATCCTGCAGCATGACCTTGTGCTGAACTCACCCGCACTCAGAACTTGAGCTGTGACATTTATGCAGATGATTTTCAGCTCTCTATCGCCAGCCTCATCTGCTCTCCTGTGCACCAGAGGGTGATGCCAGCCTATTACGGGGCGTTTCCATTTGATTACCCACAGACACAGTCAACGCAACTTGCCTAAAGTGGGGCCACCTGCTCCTTGAATAGCTGCCCCTTGTCTCATCCCAAGTCTAATTAGCTTTCTGATTTTCATTTAGCCAAATTTGTAAATAAATAGTCGCTTAAGCCAATGCTCGCACAGGCCTCTGCACTGAGCTGCATGCAGGCCCTCTTTGCTCTCTCCACCGTGCGCACTTCTGCCAGGGCTTTCTTCGCCACAGTCCCTGCTTTCCCCCATTTCTGTGGGATGAAGCCCAGACCACTCACCCTAGCAGACAGTCCTTTGGAAACCGTTTGCCTCATCTACTTTTCCAGTTTCAGTTTCCAACAGGAGATCCTTGCCAGTCAGCCTGTGCTGCCCATTCATCTCAGCACAGGCCTGAACAGTCCCCCTCTCTGAGACTTCGCTCACTTGTTTCCCTGTGAAAGGCCCTTTCTTTTTCTCCCCGCTTATGTAAACCACACACGCCACCTGGATCCAAGTCCCACTTTTCTTGACTGCTCCAGTGTTTGTCCCTTCACTGGGACCTGTCATCTGTCTCACTGTTCATGCCTTACTTATATTTTGTGTGTTGTCATCTCAATCCTGTTGTGTAAGTTCCTAAAAGGCAGTATTTCATGTAAGACACTGCAGCCTGGGCTGTGTGCAGACTTCGGGTGAAAGTATGAACCTTTTAACTCAACCTGGTTCAATACTTGAACTCACTATATCATAAATGAACCATTATCTGTATTAGTTGCTTTCTTCAAATAAAATAAGTGGTCAGAGGGGATGTAGTCTGCCTCCCGGTACTACTGGTGCTGACGCAGTCAGGAAAATGTGCATACTGGAGAGATTGGGGCTATTCAGGGACAGAAATGACAGAATTATTCTTAATTCCCTATCCTCTCAAATGCCAGGACCACAGCATGCTCAGTGCTCAATAACATGTTTGTTAAATGAATGACATAAGATGTTTTGAGCTCAATTCTTTCATGTGTAAATATCTCCTCTATGACACAAGCCACACCGCATACCTCTGTCAACTACCTCCCAAATAAATGGTTTTGGTCATTCCCCAAGTGTCCTCCAGGAGGAACCTACATCGACCACTGTGCCACACGTCTTGAGGGAGAAGAGGATGTTGACGTGGGTGCCATTGGACACCCCTCGGCAGGAAGTGTTGGTCAGGAAGAGCTCCAGGCCGCCAACCAGCTCCCTGGGGACGCTCACTTCAATGGTGTTCGACTTGCACAGCACAGGGACTGTGGTGAAAAGGGGCTACTGTTAGAACCAGGAAACCTGAATCAGGAGGAAGTCTAGGAGAAGTAATTTACCCTCATGTAACCTGAGCTTTTTATTTTATTCTCAGGGAAATCGATGGGGCTCAAAACAAACTAGAGAATGAAACCAGTAGTCCTAACTCCCAAGACTGTGTCAAATAACATTCCTCATATATGCGGTTCTGTGAATTAGGAAATACTGTGTTCAAGTCTCAATTCAGCAAACGTTCGTTTCAAAGTGTGGCTAGCATAACTCCATGAAATGAAACACCCAAAGGTTTAACTTTTAGCACAAACACAATTTATTGACAATACAGAAAAAGTACTGGTATGATATAGGCTTGAACTACCTAACAATACTGCTTTGTCTTTACCATTAATTACTGCCCCATAAAACAGAGGTAATAAAAACGGTGTTAGTGCACTTGGGGAAGGCTTCCAATTTGTCCTTGCATTGCCCAGTAAGCCATAAACTCTGACTATAAACTCCATTTTAACTTCATATAAAAAAGATTTCCTTAGCATTCCCATGCTCACTTCTCCTACAAATACCCTAAAAGGCATTTTAGGGCAGAGCACTGTAAGAGTCCAGTATGTCAGGACATGTCATAACAATGGTACAGTGTAAAGAAATCAGAAGTAGGTGCTCATTAAATATTTGTTGGATTAATGAATATTCTGGACATCAAGAACTAGATTTCCGGAAAATAGTTCTCAGAGGATTGTTAATGCTCCTATTGTAAGTGTAGGCAGAAGAATCTGTTCCCTAGGGCTTTCAACTTAGTTTCACTTAGTTTCAACCCAATTATCTTTCTGGAAGAGAAGAACTACATCAGTGTCTTATACTTCCAAATTGAGTATCAGTTATACAACTAACCATAAAAATTAGAGAAAAATAAAAGGTAAACAGCAGAGCAAAGTTAGCTTTTTGGTAATCTTTTTAAAGAGCTCTTCTCTTTTGAATGGTTCCAGCGTGATAATTCAGGTATACGCACTACTCAAAGAGCTGGTGTTTTAAAAGATGAGAACTATGACATGCTTGAGGGAGGAAAGCAGGGAGTTTCAGGGAAGGAAGAAGTAAGTCAGAGCAGAGGTGAAGCCCATCCATGTACTACCTTGGCAAGTGTGGTTATCCTCAGACAGCACCAAGCCCCGGGGACATTCGCACTGGTATCCCTTCTCAGACCCAAGGCAAGAATGGCTGCAGCCGCCGTTGTTACTGTGGCATCCTTCGATGTCTGGAGTAGAAACCAACAGAAAAGGGAATCATCTCATAACTCTCTACCCAAGAATTCTGGCACTTTGCATCAGAGATTATGCTTAACTCATGGCATTATCCCTGGTGCCTAACCCCATGACTGAGATAGGTAGGCAAACCCACAAAAAACGTTTACTGATTGTTATAGCTACAAAGAGCAGTCTTCCAACATCCATAGCTCTACCCAGTTAAGCTGGGCAGGCATTTTGTAAAATGTCCTTCAGTTTGGGTTTGTCTGATGTTTTTCTTATGGCTAGACAGGGGTTATGGGTTTCTAGGAGTAAGACCGAAAAGTCATTTCTTAATTGCTATAACATTTATTCCACCCAATTTGAAATTTTATAGAGCATTATTGATGTAAAAGGGACTGACGGAATATAAACTCAGCTGGACGGGCTGGATGGACTAGAGTTGCTATGGATTGGCTGAATCACATGGCCCTCTCCTCGAATCTGGGAACAAGAGCACTGGGGATAAAGGGTGTTGGGCTGACAGCACCCTATAAAAATGAGGCCTGGACAACATGATAAGACAGCACATTCAACTGAACTCTTGGTGACATTCCTCTCATAAGGCAGTTTTTTAAAGGTTCCTTTTTATAATATTTTGTATTTTCAAAAAGCATACTCAGTCAAATGGATAAAAAGGAGAAAATATTCAGCTGGAAACTGGAGAAACTACCACTTGATTTCAAATTTAAAAGAGGAAAAATAATGACCTTTGTGAGACCTGGACATTATCAAACTCTAACCTGCTATACATTGTTATAAATAAAGTTTTATTGGCACACAGCCATGCCCATTTGTTTACCTATTGTCTATGGCTACCTTCTCACTATAAGGGCAGAACCAAGTAGTTTCTACTGATTCCATATGGTCCACAAAGCCTAAAATATTTACTATCTGCCCTTAGAGAAAAAGTTGCTGATCCCTGCTTTAGGTTAAGATAATGGAAGGAAATGTTTTCAAATCATCTCAGATGCTCAGGGAAAGCTGTCAGCTGATTTCCAGTGATAGCTATAACTCTCAGTTCAATAATAGTTTTAAAAAGTTAGTTCTTTGGAACACCACTAAATTAACTTGGGATGAATTAGTTTTTGTGAAATGGGTATAGAGAAAAAATTTGTAATGAGTCAATCTTTGCAAAACTTAAAAGAGAGTAAATGTCAGTTGTTTATAAATCTGTATATTTAAAAATGATAAAAACACACTTCTGGGCTTTTGAAATACCTGAAAATAATATGTAACACTGTGGAAGAAAGCATAAAAATATGCTATGAGATGTTAAAGTCAATATTAATAGAATTTTTTTTCTTAAAAATGAACTTCCTTAAGTCATTTTATTTCTCTGAGTCACAATTTCAATATTTATAAAATGAAGAAATTGCACTAAATGTTCACTTGGAATATTTCCAGGTCTAAAAATGCAAAGCACAAAATAAACTGAAAGTCTAAATTATCCTAAAAGATTTAAGTCTGTCAGGAAGATATACCAAAATGTTTAGAATGGCTATATCTGGCAAATGAGGTTGTGGGTCATTTTAATTATCTTCCTTTTACTTCTCTGTATTTTCTTCTATACTGCTACAATAAAATAAAATAATAAAAATTACCTAAAATTAAAAAGAGCTGTTTATTTTTTTAAAAAGAATATATAATTATCTAATAGCTTAGCTAAAGAAACATGTATGTTTGGACTATCAATAAAACTTAAGGGTTATAAGTAGGAATATTAATCCTAAAGTGTAACTCATATAATTTTCATCTGCTAAAATATTTTTTCAGTTATGGTTATTAGGTTTTAAGATTATATGAGGATTAACTGTAATATTTCCAATAAAGTGTTAGTAAATAATTATAAATGTTCTTCAGAGAACATTTCATTAATATTCAAACATGCAAAGATTACTACATAAAATAAGATTTAAGGAGGATTCAGGATATTATTCTTAATAAAGTGTTAGTAAATAATTATAAATGTTCTTCAGGGAACATTTCATTAATATTCAAACATGCAAAGATTACTACATAAAATAAGATTTAAGGAGGATTCAGGATATTATTCTTATTCAATAAAGTTTAAAATACATTTAGTCTTGTTATATGGGACAGAAGTTTAGTATTCTGGTTAATGGTCCCTTAGTTAGGAATGCAAAATTTGTTGCATGAAATAAATTGTAGGTACTAGCCATAATTTTTCCTTTTGGGGTAGTGTTTTATTATTTTGAATATAACTAGAATAAAGTGAACTCTTATAAGCAGTACTATAGCTCTATCATTCCGCAAACTCAATTATCCTAAGGAACAGATCATATGACCTCTGTCAATAATGATAAGTCATTTACCTCTCCAAATAATCTGCAAAGAGTGTTGTAAGAATTCAGACTTATTAAAGTAGAAGTGATGAAATTTTAGTTGTGATAATTTGCAAGGGTAAATGTGCCTTAGAGAAAAGACATTATCTAAGTTTCGTATAATAATGGTAGACAATTTCCATTTCAGTTATTTGATATATATTAGAATTCTTTTTTGTCATATAAAATGTATATGGCATCCCTGCTATTAAAAATAGATCCTTTTATCTCCAAAAACTGTATTAATCTCCAGTAAATACAAAGCATATGAGAAGGAGGGGAAAAAGGCTTCATGTAAACCAGTTTCCCAAATTTCCAAGATGGTAAGAATCACCTGTGGAACTTGTTAAAAACAGAAACTGTAAGGCTCCATCCTCACCCCTCTGAAGCCGAGTCTGCAGGAGAGAGGCCCAGCAGGGGCTAGGTGTAAAAGCTCCCAGGTGATTGTCAGCAGCTGGGAAGTTTGAGAAACATTGCTATAACCAGTTATTATGCTACCCGTCTATACACTAGTCCAGGTGTGCTCCTTAGATTGGCCTCATAGGTGTCACCTGGAAGTTATTTAGAAATGCAATATCTTGACCTGATCTCAGACCTACTAAATCAGAATCCGCATTTTAACAAGATCCTAAGTGATTCCTGAGGACATTAGAGTTTGAGAAACACAGAATATCCTATTTTTATTTTCCAAGAAAAATATGGCTTTCTGCCTCTTTCCAAATCCCCTCCTGTTAAATTTTGGAGACAAAATCAACACTGAATTCCGTCCATAACATGAGCATTCTCAGTGATGATGAACCACTTTTGTTATTTCTTTATACAGCCAAACTGACTCTCTTCTAACACTAAGGCAGTTTCCTGAACATCAAAGAATAAACCAATGGCTTCCTGTGGGTTCCTGAGTTGAGTGCCTTCTTACCCATACTCACCTTCACAAGTCTTGCCATCACTTCTTAGCACACGGCCAACCCCACACTCACAGCGGTAGGAGTTTTTCAGGTTCACACAGATCTCACTGCAGCCACCATTGTTTTGATCACATTCATTTTCATCTGTAGAAGAGAACCACACCATTTCCATATTGCTGAGCAACTCCCTCTTTTCCCAAGCCCATGAGCAGAATCTCTGCATCTTTTCAGGTCTTGTTGATTCTACATCCCAGCGCTCCCCCACTGTGATCTAATCACTTCTGTCAACCTGATCTCAACCAAGTTATTTGTTCATCTGCCCTCTACTGAGTAGAAGGCACCACCTAATTGCTTGCCAATTCCCTCCTCTTAAGGGCAAAACTTATAGGAAAATGAAGTTCCTTTTGTGTCCTGGATATACCTATTTATTTGTATTGGTGAATTTCACTTTCTCCAATGAATTCCTGAAAAGTTGCTAAATAAATATAAACTTACAAGGTACATTGTGTTTTAAGTCATGAGAGGAGCTTACATTATAGAAGGAAATATCTGATAAAATATGTGTCATAACACAAACTACTACCCTCAAAATCTATTTTTTAAATTGGAATATTCTCACACTGTACTTAAGCAATGACTGCTACATTTTTAAGAATCTGATAAAAGATAAGGACCCTTGCCATTAAAAATGCATAGTTGTCAGGAAATGTCTACCCTCTTCCTTCTACAAACAAAGGGAAGATTGGGAGCTAAATTTGTCATGGCCCTCAGGAATAACAGACCTGGATATGGGACATAAAAAGGGTTTAAACAGCCATGAGGTGACAAGAGGCATGACCTTGCCATGCCCCCCCGACCCTGAGAGGAGATAAACTATACCTGACACCCTGCTTAAGTCTAGGACCCCAGAAACTGTATCCCCTCAATGAGAGGAGGAGTAGAAGAACTTTCCCCAGTGGGCCAGGGAAGCAATAAGGAAGCTCTCTGCCTGAGGCTCCAGGAGAGAGAAAAGCCTTAATAAACAATGGAAACCCCAAGCCATGGCCCTGCAGTGGATGCAGTATGATTTTTACTTTCCCATATGGGGTGGAGATCTTGAGGCTGAGAAATTAATGTAAAATTTGGCCTGGACTGGTAAAGCTTCTGTGATGGCTGATAGAGCATTTGAAAAAGTGCTGTGTAGTAAAACTTCCTCAAACCAGGTGTTATGGTTTGGAGAGGGTAACTCTCCAAACCTCCTGTTGAAATTTGATCTCAATGTTAGAGGTGGGGCCTAATGGGAGATGTTTGGGTCATGGGGGTGGATCTCTCATGAATGGCTTAGTGCTGTTCCTTGGTAATGAGCCACTTCTCACTTTACTAGTTCCCGCAAGAACTGATCTTTAAAAAGAGCCTGGCACCTCCCCTTCTCTCTCTTGCTTCCTCTCTTGCCATGCAATCCCCTCCACCATGAGGAGAAGCAGCGTGAGGCTTTCACCAGATGCCCAATCTTCCGGCCAGCAGAATCATGGGCCAAATAAACCTTTTTCCTTTATAAATTACCCAGCCTCAGCTATTCCTTTACAGTGACAATACACAGACTAAGCCACCAGGTGATAAGAGCCCCACAGGAAAACAATTACAACAGGAGATGGTTTGCCGTCTACACATGAGGAAGACACTGAGGTAGACATGAGGAAATGATCCACTGTGAGAGAGAGTTGGCAAGATAACAAATGGAGATTTGAACTGGAGATAACAGAATAATCCAGAAAAATCTATAATACAAATATTTTAAGAATGACTAAAAAGATAAAAGATAGTAACCAAAATAAGTGTGTAAAAAGCCAAGGCAGAATTGAAAACAAACATGGAATTTATAGAAATGAAAAACAGAGCTGAGAAGATTAGAATGTTAATTGGGGTCCCTTCATTCCCTTCCCTCATTATACTGCCTGGAAAGTGGATGGTTAGAGACGAGCAGCCCTCCTGGACATGGACGTGGCCACGTTTGTGTTTGGGTTTCCTTCCTCCGTTCCAAGCCTGGACTGCTTACCTTGGGACTGATTTTTTTTATATGAGGGAAAAATAAACTACTTATTTAAGCCATTGTTACTTGAGGGTTTATTATTTATTACAGCCAATTTAGATACTCTATGCCCCAGCAATTCCATCCTTATGGTACACCCTAGAGAAAAATCTCACACACTGAGTAAGGTATCATTTTTATGTTAATTTTAAGAACATACAAAACAATGATATATTTTGTTATAGGTACATACATAAATAATAAAAGCATAAAAATAGGGACCAGAAGAACACATGCTAACTTCAAAATAGTGATTACCCGTGGCGAGTGAGAAAAGAAAATGGAATGGAGTGTGATAGCTTTACTTGTATCTGTAAAATTTCATGTAAATTAAAAAATAAAGGAAGCAAAATTTAACCATAGTTAAATCTGGGTACGTGGGTATCTGTTGTACTATTTTCTTGTACTCTTTTTTGTCTGAAAAGAATTGTATAATTTTAAATAAATAATTAAAATTATGTTACATTTAAATAAAAACTAAAGGAAAATTGACACGTTCACATAAACACAAAAGTCTGCTTATAATTTCAGAGGATTCATGATCTCCCTGAAGCCCATAGACCCCCAGGTAGGAACTTGGGGCTTTGATAGATAAAGATGTCCAAGATAAATTAAGGGAGAGATGTATATACTGTCTTAGTCTGTTGTGTTGCTATAAATGAATACCTGAGACTGGATAATTTATAAAGAAGTTTATTTTGGCTCATGGTTCTGCAGACTGTACAAGAAGCATGGTGCTACCTACCATCTACTTCTGCGAAGGCCCTCAGGAAGCTTCCAATCATGACAGAAGGCAAAGGGGTAGCGGGTGTGTTACATGGTGAGAGAGGCAGCAAAGGAGAGGAGGAGGTGTCAGGCTCTTTTTAACAATCAGTTCTCACTTGAACTAACAGAGCGAGAACTCACTCATGACCTCGAGGATGGCACCAAGCCATTCATGAGGGATCTGCTCTTATGACCCAAACCTCCCACTAGGCCCCACCGCTAACAGGGGATCAAATTTCAACATGAGATGTAGAGGGGACAAATACCCAAACTATACCATATGGTTTTTTTACCTTTCATGTAAAGAAAAAGTCAATAAACATATACATTCACATTTTTATATCTGCCTGAAGAAACCCCGGAAGCACACATGAGAAAATAATACAAGAGTTTCCTTGGGATGGAGCTGGGGAAGGGGGAAATGGAGCACATGGGCAACTGAGGGCTGGACAGCTTACTGTACACCTTTTCATGCTGTTTAATTTGGGGAATCACTTAAATGTATTACCTATTCAAAGGTTTTATTAAAACAAAAGCAAAGGAACGAACAAACAACTCCTGGCTTAAAATGAAGCCAAATATTTTTCAACAATACATGTGCGTGTGAAGGGTCAAGGGGATTATGGGAACCACTATTGCCCTTACCTCAAGCCTTTGAGCATTAAACCAAATAGCCAAAATCGACCACGTGAGACCCCTAATGGTCCCTGGGGGGGAGCCTACACATGCTCCATAAGATGGTCAGTGGGGTTCACTTGGGAGATTGAAGAGCAAAAGCTTTTCTAAAATAAGAGCCTTTTACATACCTTTCACCCTAATTCCCTATCGCATCCTTATCCATTAATATTTTTCTTGGAGAGACAAGAGTGGGACAATCCTCCTCTTTCTCTCTAGACTTATTTTACATCTGTTTGAGTCTGAATCCAAAAAGCTTCATAACATTAAAGAGAAAGAGAGATGATCTTCAATCTTGAGTTTTTCATCTCTGTTCTCTTCCAGTTACAGTTATAGACAACAAAACATTATGTACAATTCAACAATTCTAGACTTCCTATAAACAATCTGACTCCCTTTCTTGCTACTCAGAGCAATCAAAATTACATTAGTGAAGCTATAGGATATGTCCTTAGATAATTCTAGATCATTGCTGTCTAGTAGAAATATTAAGCAAGCCATATATTTAATTTCAAATTTGCTAGTAGTCACATTAAATTTTTTAAAAAAGAAACTAGCAAAATTAATTTTAATAATATGTTTTATTTAACCCACTTATATCTAAGTTTCTCCTTATATCTGCCTATTCCTAAGGATAAATGACTGATTAGACATATTATATTTTCTCACAGACATCAAAGAATTAAATTTTTTAAAA